TGGCCCACTCCTGCCACCGCTGTCGGTCCTTGGTTGCGCGGGCGGTTGAGCGTGGGCGCAAGGAAGATGAATAGGAGGGCTGACAGGTGGGATCCAGCGGGCAGCGGCAGCAAGGGAAAGCAGCAGGGCGCGTGGGCGTGCACGGCGTGCTGGGCCGGCTCGTGGGCCGCGTGCGCGCGCGCTGGGTGAAAAGGCGGGCGTGGTTGGGCTGGCTGGGCCGCGAAGCCGAGCAGGCTGAAGCGGCTTGTGAGGCCTCCCTCTTCTTTTTCTTTTTCTATTTTGTTTTTCTTCTTCTTTATTTGAATTCAATTTTGATTTTGAAATTTGGATTCCAAATTGGTATACCTTTTAGATATGATGCCCATATCATTGTTATATATATTAGGAATTTATTTAGCTATTTTGTATAACAACATAGGTGTAGTTTGTTATATATAAAAATAGAATTAGTTTTCTCTTTTTACACATTTATCCTTTGGTTTGAATAATAATTACTTTATGGTGTGTTTCTTTTAAGGAGTTTTTAGGTATTACATAAAACAGATGAAAATCCAAATCACCATTTTAGTTAACAATGTATGCAACACTTTGTTTGTTGGAAATTAAATAAACATAACTAACAAATGACATGCCATGCTTATGTGTTAATTTGGGTTGGGGTTAGACCTAATGCATCTCTTAGGTTGGGTTTCTATACATGACACTCATCATCACATGGGAGTTTTGAGAAAAAATTTGTAGTTGATATTTTTGGTGTATGGATTTTTGGGTTGTTACATATAGCCCAATCTCTCTTTGTTAAGAGAGAACCTTTGGCTACCCAAGCACTTTAACAAGTGGGTCTCACCGCCATAGGCCTTGCCTAGGGCGTGAGTGAGCTCATCCACCTCTCTCTTGAGAGTCTCATTCTCAACCATTACTGAGGCATTACAAGTAAAACCATCACTAGTAGTAGAGGTAGGAGTGGTAGCGGTGGTGGATGATGAGCTACAAGAAGGGTTAGTGGGAGCAACAATAATAGGTTGATAAAATGATTCTTCAATAATGTCACATGTTATGCCCACATTACATAATACTATGACCCTTTCCTTATCTTGTTCAAGAAGTAAGGAGTGAGCCTTTTCAAGCTTGGTGTGAGCTTTGCCAAGCTTCTCATGGGCTTTCACTAGCCTCTCATGAGTAGCATTAATCTCAACAAAGGATTGCTCAAGAGCACTAAGCTTCTTTTGCAATTATTTGCACTTCTTGCTTTTCTTATTAATTATTGAGTTGGCTTGTTCTAGCATGTTCATTAGTTGTTCATTTGAGAATTCATCACCATCACTATCATTTTCACTTTCACTATCATCATTTTCACTCATCATATTTTACCTTGGAGCCCTTGGCCATGAAGCATGATGGAGTGTCAAATAGTGAAGGCTTGTTGTTGATAACAATGCTTGCTAGAGCCTTCTTCTTAGATGCCTTGTCATCATCACTTGCATCATCATCGGTGGAGGCATCACTATCCCATGTGACAACATAGGATCCACCCTTCTTCTTCTTCTTGAAGGTCATCTTCTTCCCTTTCTTCTCTTTCTTGCTCTTCTTCTTCTCATTATCCTCATTGTCACTATTGTAGGGACCATCCGCTATAACATGATCGGGGCTCTTGCATTTTTAGCACAACCTCACATACTCTCTGTTTTTTGAAGTGATCTCTTCTCTTCCTTGCACCATAGCCTTACTTCTTCACCATCTTGCCAAACTTATGCACAAAAGAGATAGTGCTTCATCATCGCTATCATAATGAGAGCATTCTTCATCACTTGATTCTTTCTTCTTAGCCTTGCCCTTGTTTTTGTTCATGGATGATGAAGTGTTGGCCTTGAATGCTACACTCTTTTTTCTTGTCTTCCTCCTTCACAAGCTCTTCACCATCACTATTGTATTGGTCCTCGGTCATCACATCACCAAGCACCTTATTTGGAGTGACATCCTTCAATCCACCACTAAAGATGATAGTTCTCAATGTCTTGAATCTCTTTGGCAAACACATCATGAAGTTATGAGAGAAGTCCTCATCCTTCACCTTCTCACCCAAACTATTGAGATCATTGATGATGACTTGTAGCCTAAGAACATCTCCGAATGGACTCAACATCCTTCATCTTGAAGTTTGATAGCTTATCTTTGAGCATATAGAGCTTAGCACTTTTACCGTTGAAGTGCCCTCATATGTTCTTCTAGTCTCACCCAAACTTCACTTGCCTTCTCAAGATCTTTGATTTGCTCAAACACTTTTGAATCAATGACATTGTATATTATGTTGAGTGCCATAGTGTTGCATTGATTGTTGATCTTGTCATTGTCGATGAGATTGGTAGGGTCAACGATCACAAACTCATTCTCTACCACATCCCACACCTTGTCATTGATTGAACCAAGGTACATCTTCATCTTTCTCTTCCAATAATCAAAACGGTGGTTTACCCCCAAAATGGTTGAACACTATTTGAGACATATTTTGCACCGAAGGTTGTTAAGCCTTGAATCAAACGGTGACAAGCTCTCAAAACTAATTATACTAAAGAGCTTAACAACTAGTTTGAAAGGAATATAAAAGAGTGAGTATGGTGATTATACCGATGCGTCGAGGAATGAGCCAATCACAAGATGAAGACAATCCAATCACTGGGAGAAATCCAATCACACAAGAGACACAAGATTTTTCTCCCAAGGTTCATGTGCTTGCCAGCATGCTAGTCTCCGTTATGTCGACCACCACTTGATGGTTCGGTGGCTAAGAGGTATTGCACGAACCTCATCCACAATTGGACATCGCAAGAACCTACCCATAAGTGAGGTAGCTCAATGACACAAACAATTTACTAGAGTTGCCTTTGGTGCTCTGCCAGGGAAGGCACAAGACCCCTCACAAGCAACCGATCGAGGCCGGAGACAATCACCAACTCCGCTCAACGATCCTCCAATCACCGTGCTGTCTAGGTGTCAGCAAACACCAAGAGTAACAAGCTCACAACGAGCCCAAATCACCCAACTAGTGCCACAAGATGATGCAACTCAATGCAATGCACTAGAGGCTCTCCAATCTCACTCGAGATGATGAAATCAAGTGAACAAGTGAGTGGAGTGTGTTTCTCAGCTTCCAAAGGGTGTGCATAAGTGTATGAGGTGCCAAGAGAGTGGCCAAGGCCGGCCACACCCTCTATTTATAGCCACACAAGCAAATAGAGCCATTATACCCCTTGAAGCTGTTTCTGCGAGGTCACCGGACAGGGCGGGGACCTGTCCAATGGTCAAATTCCAACGGCTAAAAATTAGTCGTTGGGGCACCAGACAGGGTGGCGGTGACCACCTAGTCGAGCCCCCTGATTTCCTTGCTCTCTAGACAAAAGAGGCGGTGCACCGCGGCACCCATGGCGGTGACCATGGCGGTGCCCCCCTTTGCTTTCGGTGCTCTCGAGTAAAGAGGGACGGTGGCACCGCCCTGCCTATGGCGGTGACCAGACAGTGCACCGCCGTGCACCTGGCTGTCTACACCGGACACATCGGTGATCGCCCTCCAACACGCTGCTCTCGGCCACTTCCAGGTGGGCACCGCCCTGGGGGTGGCGGTGCCACTAGAATAGTGGCGGTGCTAGCCCCAGCACCATCGCTTCTCTGCCTCAGCCAGCCGATCACCGGACAAGCCAGGGCGATGCACCGTCACACACATGGCGGTGACCACCCTAAGACAAACTCCTCCGTTAGCTATGATTTTGTTTCTTGATTCGATCCACAGGCAGTCTAACACCCTTTTCCAAGCATTGCTAACCCTCAAAGTTTTTTTCTCAAAACATATTAGAGCCAAGTTAACATTTCTCAAAACATTTTCGATAAATATTTTTGCTTGCTCTCCGATGTGCACTAGGCCTAAATGCAATGCATGAAGTCCAACACCTAGTGGCACTAGATGACGAAATTGTCTAGTTAAGAACCCCTCTTAATAGTACGACCATATATACTAAATATGATCACACTCTCCAAAGTGTCTTGATCACCAAAACAAAACCCCTATTTACACCTTTGCCTTGATCTCCATAGGGTTTTATTTTTCTCTTTCTTCTTTTCCAAGTAGAGCACTTGATCATCATCACATGTGGCCATCTTCATTATTTCATGTGATCATCATTACTAATTGAGTGCCACCATGCTCCATACTTGGATTGCACCAACCTAGCTCATATCACATCTCATGACAAAGGTTAGTGCATATGTTTCATCAATTATCTAAAACCAAACTAGGGCTTTTAAACAATATAACGAATGTAATCCCAAGACGGTGTTCTTCTCGAATCTAGGTGTTCTAATCTTCTCTGTTTTGGAATCTCACGTAACACAGTCACATAGATGTAGATATCCACAAATATCCATCAACACTCATCCCTGTACAGTGGCAGAGGACGGAGTAAAATCAAGGTACGACGAAGCTCAATTAAAGCACTCTATTCCTATCACTTATGTAAGATGCAATAATAGCCAACTACAAAATGTAGAAGACCACAAAAAAATTGAGGAGAGGGGAATTTTAGGTATCCTAATCTAAGACCAAGTGATGTTCATGCGGTCATGCCAAGTCAAATAACTCGTCAAGGGCTTCCGATCCGTGCTAGGGTCTGGGGTGTTTTCTTGGTTATAGTTTGTAGTTCCTAGTTTGTATAGGCTCTCTGACGGGCTGGCCTTTTGTAGACGAGCCCATGCAGGTTGATGGACCGAATGTTGGACCAACTATGTTTTTTTGGGTTCCTGATGAACTCTCTCGACTCGCTTTCCCCTCGCTATAGTTTAGAAGAGCGAACCGAGGGTGACTTCTGTTCCGGCGTCGATCTCGGTGGTTCCCCCTCGCTTTCGGCAGAATCTTTAGTGCTGGAGGATGGGGGGAACCTCGATTTCGATGACCGATGTATATATTCTACTCTAATAGGCTTGTATTAGGCAGAATAAGGTTCCTATTACCCATGGCAGCGGTGTTGTTGTGTAGGTTCTTTTGCTTCCTCTACTTCATCTCTGGTGGTGATGAAGGCGGATTCGGCGCTGGCACGTGCTTCGGCGAGGATCTGCCCAACATCTCTGGTGGTGAAAGTAGCGTTTCATCCCTCAAAGGTGGTTCTGGTGGTCAAGCATATGCCAGGAACATCCTTGTGAGGTTAGTTGTCCACCTTCTCGTGTGCAAGGGTTGGTGTTTTCTGATCCCCATGTGGCTTTGTTGTTCGTCGTCTGGAGTTGGTCGGTGAGGCATTTTGCGTCAGATTCTTGTGACGACGAGGAGACGTCAATTTGTCATACGTCGATGCGTTCAATGACTTAACAGTACGTCTTTGACATGCTACTCATGGGCTCTTTAAAATTTGAAGATTCTTCGTTGATCCGAAAATCGGCCATAAGCTTCATCTTGATCTTCTTCATTGCGGGAGGTGGAGAATGACCGAGCTGCGACAACAATGGCCGACGACAACAACGACAAAGGCCACTGGGTGGTCCTCTACAAGACTTGGATATAATTTTTCTTTTCTTCGGGAGTGCCCTGTTGGGGGCTGGATGTAGAGGTACTTTTACTTTGATCCAACCCTTTTTTCAAAAAAAGAGGAAAATTTACCGTCGGTCCCTGAACTTGGCCGGTGGTGTCATCCATGTCCCTGAATTTCTAAAGTAATATCTTTGGATCCTTAAATTTGGCAGACAGTGTCATCCAGGTTCCTGAACTTTCAAGGTGATCACCGCAGGTCTCTAAACTTGGCCGGCAGTGTCATCCCAGTCCCTGAACTTTCAAGGTGATCACCGCACGTCCCTAAATCTGGCAAACAGTGTCATCCCTGTCCAAATAAGGTCTAACATACTCTATAAGTTGGTGTGGCACAATGACTGTACATTAGACGTGGATCCAACATTTATTAATTAATCAATCATTATTTATATAATATTTATCATGAAAAAATAAATTATATAAAATAATTTACTTCAACAAAAATAAATTAATATATTAAAATAATTTACAACAGAAAATATATTAGGTTTAAACTAAAATAGAAAAAATATTAAAATTAATTTAATATTTATGTATCATTAATAGTATTAAAATAATATTAAAATTCCTATTGTATTAAAAGTTTTCTCTATTTAAAGTTACTTCAAAGTTTGGTATTATTTTAAAAATTTTAATAGTAGTATTATAAAAGTAACTTTTCTCTGTTATTAATACTATACTATACTACTTTTAATAGTAGTATTATAGTATTAGAACTTTTAATAATCGTATTATAGTTTTAAAAATGTTTAATAATAATGTTATAGTATTAATAACAAAGAAAAATTACTTTTATAATACTACTATTAAAACTTTTAAAATAATACTAAAATTAGAAGTAACTTTTAACAGAGAAAACTTTTAATATTATTACATTTAGATATGGATGGCAGCGCTTGCCAAGTTTAGAGACCTGCGGTGATCACCTTGAAAGTTCAGGGACCAGGATGACAGCGACAACCAAGTTTAAGGACCTGCGGTGATCACCTTGAAAGTTTAGGGATCTAGATGATCTTTGTCTGCCAAGTTTAGAGACCTCTGAGATATCACTTTAGAAGTTCAAAAAACTGGATAACACCGTCGACCAAGTTCAGGGGACCGACGGTGAATTTTGCTAAAAAAAAAATGAGCTAACAAGTGGGCCAGACCGGCCTGAGAGCAAAACGCAAACGGCCGATGGGGATGAAGAAGGGCATGGATCGCGCCAGAGCCAGGTCCGACAGCCACAAAATTCGTGTGAGCCAAAGCAAAGAATCACACACGCAAAATATATCTTTTCTGTAAAAAAAAAAACATGGGCTCGCAGGCGCCAGTCCGCAGCTTCTTGGCGGAAACCCACCAGCCCACCACCAATTCGGCCGCGCGGCACGTGGTGGTCCGCCGGCGGCGTGTTTGCTGGCTCATCGTGCACGGCCGTGGTGCGCGGTGCGCCTGCGCGCCGCCGTCGCCCGTGTCGGGGCGTGGGCGGACTGGGGCCACTGGCCGGGGCGGCGGACCGGCAGAGCGGCCCGTGGTCGATGAGGCCCCGTGCGCTTGCGCGGCCGGCAGTTTGCTTGCCATCCGCCCCCGAACGGATCGGACTAGGTAGGTTTTGGGGTTCCAGGTTCCTGGGCTGGTTCTGGCAGCTGGTGGCTATCCTTTGGAAATTGGAACTCGACCACCAGACCAGTGCAAGATCCCGCGGTCAGTCGGGCTTGATTCCGTAGTTTACGGGGAGGAACGGAGGGGGTTCCTCCTGGCCCTGGTCTCCTTCTCCCGAGAAGAAGAAAATGAAGGAATCCGAGGAGAGCCGAGCAATAATTTTGGTTTTGTGGTTCGTGGACTCGTGCATACTGTTGTGGAGTACGTAGTTCTGTGACGCGCGCGTACGTCCAATGTTTGATGCGCCGTGCGCGGGCTTGCAGCTGCTTGCTTTTGACCCCGGCGCCGCGTGCCCATATGGAGTTGAAGGTTCAGCGCACGCTCATCTGTCGTCACTCGGCCATACGCTGAATTCGCTGCTGTATACAGGATCACTTGTTTTTGGATGCAGTAGATGCGGCTCTGACCAACGAGGCATGGGCGAAGGGCTATAGACGGAAGACGTACGGCCATGGCCTTTGGTCACAGGGCCACTGCTGACCGGACAGTTGACAAGTGACAACGCACGCACGCCCCACATCGCGCCAGTTTCAACGCCTCCTTCGTCTACTAGGGGCCGGTCGTACCTACAGTATGTTGCATCTCTGACGGCTGCCTGCCTCTCCTCAACATTTGCCTGGCACCGGCGATGGCGCGCACGTCTTTATTTTGTGCACCCGATCGCGGTGGAGCCTCGAAGACAAAGGACCAAGAACAAGGCCTCCGTCCGTTGTTGTCCGTCCACCCGCATAGAACGATGCTCTTCGGAGCGCGATCCAGCGCCCGTTTCGCAGCGGACAAACGCCGGGGCGATCGGCCTTGGATCTGCTTGCGTATTTGCGTGCAATCTTGGAGCCGCCAGCCGCCGCCACTGCACCTTCCGTTGTCCCGGCCGCGCTTTTGTTTAAGCAAGCAGTTCCCATCCAGCACAGAAGTGGGCTAGCTTTGGCTTATCTGCGGTCGTCCACTCTTGTTTTGTTCTCGGTGGATCCGACCGTAGCTCCGCTCCTAGGACCTCGTCCTCGACGTGGAGCTGGACCGCATGCCGCGCTTCGGCCTGTACAGAAGAAAGGGACAGACGGGTGCTCGATCGGGCTCCCAGTGCGCTCCGGCCTGTACAGAAGAAAGGGACAGACGGGTGCTCGATCGGGCTCCCAGTGCAATAGGGCATAAGCGTACGTCCAAGGTAGCCACGCCGGAGACGGCTTTCCACGACGCTTTTCTAACGTCGCCGTCCCGACCGGTCGAATCCACGCCCGGGTCCCTCCCTCCGCCCGCAGGCCGCAAGCCCTCTGCCACACCTGCACACCACCACAGTCCACCGGCTCTCCCAGCCTCTCCAGTCTCCAGCACCCATCCTCGGCCCGGGCGCCCTGGCCCCTGCACCTACACGGGACGCATCGCAGCTGATCCGTTTTTTCAGCATGAACAGTTTTTTTTATTTAAAAACTATAAATACTGGAAAAACTGTTTATACTGATTTGCTGTGAAAAAAAAAAGCCGAACAAACCGGCTACTTGCTTAGCCGAACACTGCCTAAACTGTTCCCTGCGCCGCTGCCGCTGCAGCTGCTGCTTCGTCACTCGTCAGGCAGGCAGGCACTCTCGCAATGATTCCGCCGGACGTTTTGGCCCTCCCTCTTTTACCGGGAGATAAGGCGATGATGGTCGACGGGCTTCCCCGCCACCCTCCCGCCCTCCCCTTTATTTCGTCCGAGGCCATGATTGTCCCGGGGTGTCTTGCGTCGCTCATACTTCTCAGATCTCGCTGCCCCCGCAACTTTTGCAGGAGAGCCTTGCATTGCACATTGCAGCAGGCCGGTTCTCAGCTCCGGCCTTTCGGTCGTTTTCAGCGCGCGCTCATGAGTCACGAGAGCATCGCATCGCATCTCCTATCTCCTATTCTATCTATTCTCCTGCCCGTGCCCGCACTGAAATGGGGCTGGGTTCCCGGTTTCTTTTCATCTCCCGGTTTCTTTTCATTGGAGAGAATCTCACCGTACGTCACGCCGCTCGCCGCAGTTGCATCGCATCGCAACTTGGAATTGAAATGACATTCTCTCCAATGTAGAGTACGAGTAGTACAACTGGGGCCTCGTTTGATTCCTTTTTCTATAGTTTACTTCATGAAACGTCGAATATCTGGACAAATGCACGAAGTATAAATATAGATTAAAAAATAATTAATTATACAGTTTACGATTAATTTGCGAGATGAATATTTTAAGCTTAATTAGTCAATGATTTGATAATGTGGTGCTACAGTAACACATGTGCTGATGATGGATTAGTTAGTCTTAATAAATTCATCTCCCATATTACTGACGGATTATGTAATTTGACATTCAAAATTTTAATCCCTAAATTTAAATAAGGCCTGCGTAAAGAAAAGGAAATGCATGGTGCTCGGAAGTCGGAACTGACTTTGACAAGGGTCAATTAGTTCGGAGTACTGTAGCCGTGTAGCACCACACGGACACGGAATCTGCACTGTGCGTTCAGAAGAAAAAAATGCATGGATTTTGGGGGTAAATAAAATAGCGGAGTAGCACACAGAAATGGCCACGAGAAAAGAACACGAGAGAACTACTGCCCATGTCCAGCTGCTCTTCGTCATCGAGTTCTTTCTCCAGCTCACTACTGACGCAAAAAACGACTGCAGCTGCAGCTGTAGTAGACTCGGTCCTCCTCCTCCCGCTCTCTGGGCTTGGTTTGGTTCGCGCGAAACCCTAACTACCGGCGGTAAGGCTGTCATCCACTGTAAAACCTAAACCTAAAATAAATCTCCGATATAATACATATAGCCTTCAACAGAATGTTTATATAAAAAAACTATTTTAAATGTTAGAAGAGACATAATCAAAATCTGAGTATTTTCTCTTCTGAAGACTTATTTATAAAAATAATTATCTTTTAGACCTTATGGTTAAAGATGAAAAAAAAAAATCAAACTCTTTATCTATAGCGACGAATGAGCCTTATATTTCGTTGTCGTCGGAGACAGTTTTAGGGAGGGAGAAAAAATCCCAAAATTCCCAGGCCTCCCTCCCCCTCCCTCTCCCAGCGTCGCTTTCGCCGGACACCACCACCTGCCGCTTTCCCCTCGCTCCCCCTCCCCTCCCGCTCCCCTCCCTTCGCCGCCCATCTCCTCCGCCCCTTCTTGACCCCGATTGGGAATCCGCATCAGGGCCTGCCTGCGGCGGCATTCAATTCCCTGCCCCCACGAGCACGCCGCCTCCCCACGCCCCCCAGCCCGGGCCGGCGCGCTCCCGAGACCGCCGGTGAGTCCGCATCCCTTCTCTTGCCGAGGTTTACCGCTGAATTCCCGTCGCCCAAAAAAACAACAGAGAGAGACAAGGTTTCGCTGCTGAATTCGCTGCGTTTCCGGCAATAAGCAGAGCTGCAAGCGGCGCCGGCCGGAGGGTCTTGTCTTGTGCCTTGGTAGATTGTCTTTTAGCTATAGCTTTGCTGCTGTATGTTTGTGGGGATGTAGTTTTGGTCTGGATTAGTATGAGGCTCCGCGTCGACGCGCCTTGCCGCTTTGTAATCGCTTGGTTGCTCTGAAGTCCTGCGGTGAGCCTTGTTTCTGCGGGAATGGTCCCGGTTACACGCCCCTTACATTTCTCTAGATGCTATTGGATTACGAGTTTATCTGCGGATACGGAGACTTTCTTCAGTTCGATGCTGGGAAGTTTGGACTGGTGGTGCCTTTTTGTTTAGAGCCTGGGATTACGTTCCGATCCAGTTTGGTTTCCACCTTCATTGTGCTCGGACGCTCGTCTTTGCTTTAGAACATTTCAGCGACAGCTTGGATGAGCTCCAGCCTTGGATGGGTGTTCAAGACTCCTTTGGGCATTTCGGACCACCAAAATTAGTTCTAGCTTTAGACACCTGGCTGCTCTCAATTATTCTGTTATTATTCGGTTAAATTTCTGTCGAGGTTGTAGATTCAGCTGCCATGTTTTTCCTGTTCTACTGTTGATACTGAGTTGTGAAAGCTATTTCTTGCAAAAACTTGGTCTGTCTGCCATTTGGAGCTTAGTCATTTTGCCATCCTTGGCTCTTGTAGTCTTCTTTTTGGGTGATTTGGAATATTTATTTTCATGTCTATGCTTGCAACTGTTATGTATGTAGCTGTAACCCTTAGATTTGAAGCATGTTGATTTTATTTCGGATAGATTTGAAGCATGTTGATTTAAATTTAATTGTAACACTAGAATGCGCTGATGCTGCTCTTTTTATTCCCTATTAAAACAAAGTATTGTAGCCGTAATTAGGACAGTAATACAATGAATTATGTAAGGATTTCATGTGTTTTTCCCTTACATTTTATCACCAATTTGATATATTTGATGAGATATAAATGTCAGTAATCTGGTTATAGCTTAATTATCCTAATTTTCTCACTGTGCTTAGCCTTACTTGGGTGAATGACATCTCCTTTTAATTCTTGCAGCATTCACATGATGTACCATGCTAAGAATTTTTCTGTGCCCTTTGCACCACAGAGGGCTCAGAATAATGAACATGCAAGTAATATTGGAGCTATTGGTGGACCCAACGTAAGCAACCCTTCTAATCCTGTAGGGAGTGGGAAACAACGCCTACGATGGACATCTGATCTTCATAATCGCTTTGTGGGTGCCATCGCCCAGCTTGGTGGACCAGATAGTGAGTATTCTGTTCTCAGTTGAGAATTTGACAGTGTGGTCGAACTCGATGCATTTCTGAAAAAAAGTCAACTATATGTGTTGTATATTAATTGCGTATATTATACATGCCATATATGTGTAGCAAACTGGAAAATCAATTAAACCGACCATGCAAATGTTTAAGATCGGATTGCTGCACACTTTTCGAAATTCCTATGAGCATGCTATTTAAGTATTTGTATGAGCTTCTATAACTGTGTGTGCTATGTTATTAAATCCAATCGCATTGGAAAATGTTTATGCCTTGAGAACTGTAATCCTTGTCCATGGGAAACAGCTTTGAGTGTTGCATGTGGCACATGTCTGACTCTATTAATCCAAACTTGACTTGTGATAAGCTAGCAGGTTATCATGAGCGTACTTGATGTTTTGGGGATTTCAGCTACAAGTATTTTGTATCTAAGGCTCTTATCATATTTCTTCAGGAGCTACACCTAAAGGGGTTCTCACTGTGATGGGTGTACCAGGGATCACAATTTATCATGTGAAGAGCCATTTGCAGGTGAAGAATTTCCTTCAAAGGAAACAGATTTCAAAATGTCTCACTGCAACTAATATTTTCCTTTACTTGGTGCTTGTGTAGAAGTATCGCCTTGCAAAGTATATACCGGAATCTCCTGCTGAAGGTGAATATTGTTGTGGCCAAGTTTTTTCTTCTGCCTGTCCCTTTCCCTTCTGTCAAACATAGGAACTAAACAGCTATTTTGGCCTTTTGTTATGATGGCATCTCATGTAGGTTCCAAGGACGAAAAGAAAGATTCGAGTGATTCCCTCTCGAACACGGACTCTGCACCGTAAGTGATCTTTACTCAGTTGTGTCCTTTAGCATAGCTGGTATGCTGGCTGGTGCCTGGTTCATATGAATTACACGGTTGACAAATATTCTGAAATGTGTTCAGAGGATTGCAAATCAATGAGGCGCTAAAGATGCAAATGGAGGTTCAGAAGCGGCTACATGAGCAACTCGAGGTCTGTTATTGAAAGATCATAACTAATTTATTTCTGTTTATTTTTACACCATTTTAGTTTACCGACAATCCTACTTAGCTGGGGGTTACTTCTACAAGCTGATCTTTTGGTCCATTCTTAATATCCACTTATTATTTGTCAAGTTACACCTAAGGGTGGTTCCTTCTCATGGTTGTAGTAATGCTTAGTTGTCAATAATCTCTTGTTGGCAGTTCTTCTGTTTTGGCTTATTTCTTGTAGTTTATGAGTTCTTTTAGCTTCAAGAAAAATCTAAATCTTCCTTGCGAACTCTCTTTTGCTTATCTGAATAAGTTACATTTTCAGGTTCAAAGACAACTGCAACTAAGAATTGAAGCACAAGGGAGATACTTGCAGATGATCATTGAGGAGCAACAAAAGCTTGGTGGATCAGTTAAAGCTTCTGAGGATCAGAAGCTTTCGGATTCGCCTCCAAGTTTAGATGACTGCCCAGAGAGCATGCAGCCTTCTCCCAAGAAACCAAGGATAGATACATTATCACCGGATTCAGAGCGCGATAGAACACAACCCGAATTCGAATCCCATTTGATCGGTCCGTGGGATCAAGAAATCTGTGGGAAAAACATATGCGGCGTTGCATTCCCATTGGAGGAGTTCAAAGCAGAGCCTGGTATGAGCAAGTCGTAAAGCAAACTTCTGCGGCTTGACAGAAAATTTTCAGAGTTGACCTCTCCACGAGATGATCATTGAATATATATCATCTTAACAACAGAATGTTGTACGGGTTTTTGACCCTGCACCTGATCCCTTCAGCCACGTCCAGTTGTTCTTATCACTGTAGTATCCATCAACAACTCCTGTAATTATGAGGATGGTGTTACAGTGTTTCTAGCAAGCATGTCCATCGAGGGAATATCCCAGAGTTGAACCATGTAGCAAGAAAGAGGACATGCTTACAAGCAATACATTTGCTGTGAAGAGGGCACGCCCCTGGAGCTACGTGAGCTACCTGAAGCTATGTTGATAAAAAAAATGGTATATTCTGATCTGCATTATTTATATTGACTTCGTTTCCCTGTATCCACGGTGCAGCCAGCTCGGCATTATGTTAAAATGATCAGCTCGGCAGTTTTAGAATGTTCCCATGTTAGGTCGTACACAAGATTTCAGTTGTAGTGCTGCAAAATAACTTGTTTGATAAAGAATTTTGAAAAGGGGGTTATGGCACACAAAAAAGGAAAGCAAATATTCTGCCCTTTTGACTCTCACAGGAACACCCTAAGACTATCTCCAACAATAACACTCAAAATATAAGAACTATTTGATCTTTTGGTAACGCTACAGGCAAATGGTTCAATATCCATTTGACATCTTTTCCAACAATAAGATTCAAAAGTTTCCAGGAGAGAGAATGCTTATATTTGGATTGTGCCTCTCAGGTAACTTAAAATAGGTCTACCGTAAAGATAGTCTGTTGGAGGCTGATTTTAGGTCTCTCGTAATCTATTTTAGGTTTAGGTGTCCATAAAGGCCAGATAATCTAAGGTCTAAACTACTTGCGTTGCAGCACTTGTCATTTGTAAATGAAAATTGGCAAAGAATACTTGTTTCTTTTTCCCACGTATGTTCGCTTTCTCATAGCAGTAAAAAGCTTTCAAACAGGCATTGATGCTACACACTATAGGACTACTTGATTGGTGGATTGGATCCAGATTTATATTTCAGTTCAAATTTTAGCTAAATCCCAAAAATCCTCTTCTCCATATACGTTGCTGCCACGGCTAAAGCATTAAATTTAGCATTTTCTTAGAAGAAATAAGTTTTATTCTGGCCTTTGCATAAAGCATACACTTAACCACCTATTACCATTACAAGTTTCAACCATTTAGCTGGTGATCGACAGCAGTATAGAATAGATTCAATCAAACAGTATAAAAGGAAAAGGACCACCGACCACGTAGGGCTCAGCTACAGCTAACCATTTGACGTTGTAACTGCCAAGGAACGGTAAGTTCGAACCGAGGAGCGGAATGTAAAATCTATATATCTATATTTTTAAAATTAAAAATTGTAACTTTTTTGCTGCCACTTTTTATTCTTTCCTCAATCCATCTATCCCTCGCTCATCTTATGTCTTTCGATCCGTCGTCAATTACTCTCATCCTTCGTGTTATCCGTCTGATATCACACTAAGATATAAGCTCTGAAGAAACGAGGAAGTCTTTTTTTTTTTTTTGCGAGAAGAAACGAGGAAGGCTAGGATTTAAAAAAATTAATGGAGGTTTATATATGGGATATTGGGATGGGTTATCGGTCCAACACCGAACTGAGTCCGTCCGACGCGCGAGCAGCCCAAGCACGGTACTGGTTAGCGGGCCACGCTAGCCCAGGCGCGGTGGCTGCCGGATCAGGTCATGCTTGATCCGAGCTAAAAATCAGTGCTTCCTAATCCTATCGGAATACTGGACTACGGGCCTTCCGTACAACTATGCCCCCACAGGCCCACAGGCCACACGCCCCCTTTCTATGCACGCATGCGCATCTTAGCCGGAGCTGCAAGACGGTGGAACAGGAGAGGAGCTGCATACTGCGTGCACTGTGCAGTCGTCAAGCTGTTATGCCCCTCACGGCCCCACCAAATATATAGAACGCTCCGTCGTTAGCCGTGAGCATTATAATCCAAAAGAGAAAAGAGATCAATAGTCAAAAGTACAGTCTTAAGTCTTAACATTTCCAATCTACTCCTTTCGTTTTAAATTGTAAGTAATTTTGACTTTCTAGATATTCATGGCTTTTATTATGCATCTATACACCATTGTGTATCTATAGCTTCAGAATCAGGCTAACCCGGTCTTCTCCCTCGCTATCCCCAGTCACGCACACGCAGGACTCAGGCTCTATCATCTCCCAAGGCAGTTCCACCCGAAGAGAACACTTCTCTACGCACACAGAGTTCTCTACAAACCCCGGTACCAGGGCTAACACGAGAACAACACACATAGAGGTTTCTCCTCTAGGGTCCCTAGCATAGAGACATCGTCACATATGAACGAGCTTAAAGGAAGGCATGGATTAAAACAGAAAAGCTTAATTCATTTTCATAGAGCAAGCTTACATACGACTTTTCCTTTCGAAAAACCCCAAACACTTAGCACAAATCTTAGGGATTACCTTAAAGCGCACAAAATTCAAATTTAAAATTATCGAGTTAGTATTCACAACACTATTTAAATTCAGTGGTTACTATTCAATTTCGTGGCACTATTCAAAATACTTGCGACTGTTCAAATTCAGAATATGAATAGTGCACGAGCACTCACATGGGAGTGGCTTAGGTGCCCAAACTCTCCTCACTATACAAGCACTACGCGGAGCACTTATGGGCTCCGTTCGGCTGGACAGCTGCTGTCGGCTGCTCTCCATCACAAGTTACTGTAGCTGACACCTAGGAGCAGCCGGCTGTGGCTGGAAAGTAGTCTAGCCGAACAACGCCATGGTGGATGTGTGCGTGATTATTAAGTGCGTGATTAAATATATGCGGATTATGGGTATGCGTGTAATTCTCATGATCTTTTGTAGGCTAACGAGATCAAAACTTCAGTCGGTCGTGCGACTATGCTTGTGTCAGTTCTACTCGGTACTCACCGTATACATCACTGGCTCGCTTCAGAACCAAGCTAATCCGGTCTTCTCCCTCGCTATCTCCAGCCACGCACATAGGACTCGGGCTCTATCGTCTTCCTAGGCAGTTCCACCCGAAGAGAACACTTCTCTGTGCACACAGGGCTCTCTACAAATGCCGCTACCAGAGCTAACACGAGAATAACACACGCAGATATTTCTCCTCTAGGGTCCCTAGCATAGAGACATCGTTCCATATGAATGAGCTTAAAGAAAGGTAGGGATTAAAACAGAAAAACTTAATTCATTTTCACATAGCAAGTTTACATATGGCTTTCCCTTTCGGAAAACCCCAAGCATTTAGCATAAACCTTAGGGATTACCTTACAAGCGCAGGAAGGTCACGGGGACTTCCTTTATTCTCTAATTTACAACCGTGGTGGAGTAATACAACGGTAGTGGATGATTAATACTAAGGGTGGATGAACTCAGAGTGCTCCTGAGATCGTGGTCTTCATGTTGTATGTGGAAAAGTGGAGCGATGGCTTCAGTGGAGGTATTGCTGGTGGTGGTCGTCGTAGTGGTTCTGGTGTTCAAATGCATACGCCCGGCTTCTCCTCTTATAGAGCAGGAAGAGCCTTCTAGAACGTCCTTCGTGCTTATCTTCTGGAGGAGCCTTCAAGGTGAAGTCTTCAATTATTCATCTTTATTGTTGCCTAGACAGCTGGACGGTGCTACGATCCTCGATAATTGTCCTGGCTACAGTAGAGTCACTATATATTCCTTTTGCGTTGTCCTCTGTCACGCTTTGTCTTCACGTGTATTTTTAGATTTCCTGGGTATAGTCTTCCACGCCCGAAAATCCAAGAATTCTAGCATGTAGTATTATCTACCCCCGACCGAATTGTTGATAATACCTTATCAACATAGAGAATATATTTCTTATGTAATTGTATATATTTATTTATTTTAATTTTTATAATATTAAAATCTAATATTTTGGTCGTTGCCCATGACCACGGATATCCAACATCTAATCATCATTTTCATCATCAGATATCTGTATATTCATTTTTGACTCATAATCTTTCTTAATATTTTCTTCATAGTCTTTCATTATATTTTCAAAATTTTCATCTATTTCACCTCTTATTTCTTGTAAGATTTATTCTTTTATGTCTTTCTTCCATTGAAGGGTTATTGACTCTAATTTTTCTTTGATCTTCGTATTAACGTATTCTTCATTCCATGGATCTATCTCTTTCTTTACAACTTCTTTATATGTATGTAGTCTGCAAGGTCCCTCTTCTCTTACATTTGGTTCTGTCCATATTGGTTTTATTTCTTTGGTCTTCCTGTCTGGATATAGTCTTTGGTTGCAGGCTCTAAGAAATAATTTACTCTCAAAATACTTCTTGCATATGAAAGAGCTTGATCAATATTTTTTCCAAGACACTTCTCCATCTTTTTCTTTTTCTATCTGCAGAGCTATAACTGCTTCATATGATAGATAGATTCCTAGTGTTTTCCCCTATATATAACTGAAAGTGCAAACAAGCCTTAATTATGGGTTTTGGTGATAATGACCTCACAATTAGAGAACTAATGAGATTTATCGAGATGACAAGCTGGGAATTTATATTCGAGGATGCTACACAAAATGGATGAGCCCCCAACTACAAATATAGATGGCTTCAAACTCAAAGGAGGTTTAAATTCTTTTATATATTGAATTTGAGCATAGGAAAAACCGTACTATAAAGGGGGCACAATGCTTAAGCTAATCTGTGCTACCAAGTGCTCAAACAACCACATGCATCCTCAGATCACAGTCAAGACAGTCTACACTTCACTATTTTCCTTACTATCGTGCGGGGTGAGAGCTCCGACTCAGCCGACACCTTGGGTGTGGGCTTCGGTTCACCCGACCCCTAGGTCACGGGCTCCGCCTCGCCCGACCCTTTGGTCGTGGGCTTCATCTTGCCCGACCCTTTGGTGGTGGCCTCGTCTCAACCAACCTTTTGGTCGTGGGCTCCGTCTCGCCCGACTCTTTGGGTCGCAGGCTC